CTATATATAAATACTTAATTTGCAAATTCCAATTTTTAATGACTACTTTTCTTTTCTTTTTTAGGTTTCAAAGTATCCCCAGGATAAATATATATAAATATATAAATTTTATATTGTTTTTTGGAATTTAATAAATATGTTTTAAAGTAAAAAACAATGTTTTTTATTTAAAATTAATAGACTTACATGGTAAGTATTTAACTTGGTCCCAAATACAATGTAATTATATATTCTGAAAGCATGAATTCGCAAAGCATAATGACCTTTTGTTGGCACTTCAATATATTTCAAACACATGTAAAAATTTATAGTGGCTGGAGAGTACTGAAATATGGAAAATGTGTCCAAAATCAAAATACCGAATATTTGAGGGTGCCTTTATATGGGACCACACCTCTGACTGAAACTTGAATGGAAGTTGCTAGTTTTAGTAGGAAGATTTTCTACGCAGTGAGAATTCAAAATATAATATTACAGCCAATTCGGTTGAAAACTTGTCTAAAATTTGGGCGGTAACGTCATATGAGAGCTATCCTATTATGTGGACCAATATTGATCACTTTTGGTAGGCATATTTGCCATCCAACGAGAACCCAAAATACCAAATTACATCCAATTTGCTTGAAAAACAACACCAACACCATTTTCAAAAATATTGTGGACCTTTACATGTTTGCTACCCCAATATGTGGACCCAATATTGATCACTTTTGGTAGGAAGATTTACTACCCTATGAGAACCCCTAATACACCAAATTCGGTTAAAAGATCCATAAAATACGTAGTACTGGAGGTTACCATTATAGATGGGCAATATCAACCGATGGTCCGAAATATTCCATGTTCAATGCCATCCTAGGAGCAAAAGCAATGTATGTGCTATCGTTAATTCAAAAGATGGCTAAATGACATGTCACTTTTCCTAATCAAAAATAGTGTATATATTTTGTAAGGTCTACAGTGAATATTTTCCGGTTTTGACAAATTTTACATACTCTTCGCCTTATGCTGAAGGGTATAAAAATCAAATTTCCCTTAAAACTACCAATTTCAGCGATTGAAACCGTATATAACATGTTTTCATATTAACATGATTTTCTTAGCAATTGTACGAGCTTGCCTATTGATGTACATACATACATAATCTACACAATCTCCCCTAACCCGAACTGAAAGTTTCATGCAAATACCTCAATTAGTTACAGAGTTATAACCATTTGAAGTTGACCTTGTGTCAAAATATAGCTGCTACACGATTCTGTTTGCCTATTACCTCAAATGGGAAAAATGACAAATTTGCATGTTCCAAAAACCAAAAAATTGCAGTCGCGTTGCCAATCGTTTGATTTAGGTGTGTGTGATGTTTGTAAGTCTGCAGATTATAAACATACCTTGAGGCGCATCAATTCAATAAGTGTAAATCGAGAATGTAGCCAACCAAGTTTTTGCATGTAACGCCTAAAAGTATGCTCATAATTTGCAGACTTACAAACATCGCACACACACCTAAATCAAACGATTGGCAACGTGACTAAAATTTTTTGGTTTTTGGAATATGCAAATTTGTCATTTTTCCCATTTGAGGTAATAGGCGAACAGAATCGTGTAGCCGCTATATTTTGACACACGGTCAACTTCAAATGGCTATAACTCAGTAACGAATGGATATATTTGCATGCAATTTTCACTATCGATTAGAGGAAAATGAGTAGTTTTTATACGTATCAAAATAAGGGGTATTATAAAAATGAAAACTTGGAAAATTAAGGTAATTCGAAAAATAGTTTGAATTGAATTTAAACAACTGGAAATTGATACATTTTAGAAAATATTCATTTTAGATCATTGAGGAAGGGCGGTAGTAACATTTTGGATAAAAATAATGATAATTCATGGTTTATTCAGAGCACAAAGAGCTATTGTTGTGGTGCACATTTTACATGTTGTCTCATATTACCTGGTGAAATGTTAATAAAAACTATTGTTTAGGATAAGACAGTGTTACCATTGACCTATAGGGTTTTCCGTTAAGAGGATTTTTATAAAAAATAAAAATAAATGTCCTCGAAAGCTTCACGAATTTTATCTTTGATTCTTTAAATGGATTGTTTTGGTTTCATGTGGCCCAAATAAACAAATTATACATAGATTTAGCTATGTCCGTTCGATGTATTCACGCAATATTTAAGGTAGAGCTTTGACCTGGAATATATTGGTCCACGTTTTTCAACAGAATAGCCTGTAATTTGATATTTTGGGTTCTCAGTGGGTAGCAAACAATATTCTTATCAATATTGGTCCACTTATTAGGGTAACCTTTGTACATGTTTTTATACCCTCAGCCTTATGGCTAATGAGGGTATATACTGTTTGATACGGTGAAAATGTGCCTCATCGAAATATTGGTTTTAGACCCCATGTTCCATTGGACCAACATCGTTTCAGACAATTTGGAGTCGATTTATAAATGTCTGTCTGGCCGGCTGGTGTGCACGATAACTCTCGAAGGCAATAATCGATTTCAACCAAACTTTGCACATATTATTATTTCTTTAAAACACAAGTTCGAATATGGGGAATATCGGTCCACTCCTTCTGGTAACTCCTCCAAAAAATTGTCAAAATTGTGCAAAAATTAATTTTATAATATCATGCGAACGCATTATCTTTAACAAGTCTAGATCAAGTTCAAAGATTGGTCCCATTGGTCCACTCCTTCTGGTACCTCCCCTAAAATAGCCAACATTTTTGAATATTTGTAAATGTTCGATTTGAACCAAACTTTGCACAACCTGTTATCTTTACCAAGCCTAGATAAAATCTGAAGATGGGACCTAATGGTCCACTCATTCTGGTACCTCCGCAACAAATGGTCAAAATGTTCAATATTTTTAAATCGAATATCAGGCGAATGGAATGTCCGATTTGAACCAAGTCTGAAGATTGGGACTCATTGGTGAACTCCTTCTGCACATCCCCCACAAATAGTCAAAATTTTCAATATTAATAAATCCAATATCTGGCGAATGGAATATCCTATTACATTTACCAAGTCTAGATCAAGTCCGAAAATTGGACCCATTGGTCCACTTCCTACAAAGGGTCTACATTTTCAATATTTCCAAATCCGATAACAGGCGAATGGAATGTCTGATGTGAACCAAATTTTGTACAACCTATTATATTGACCAAGCGTAGATCAAGTCCGAAGATGGGACCCATTGGTCAACTCCTTCTGGTACCTGCCCAAAAATGGTCAACATTTTCAATATTTACAAATCCAATAGTAGGCGACTGTCCAATTTAATCAACTTTAAATCCGAAACTTCTTTCATAAAAAAAATTATCTTATATAAAATGAATAATAAAACATGTTTGTAACTCCAAAGACCTCCGCAAAACATAAGCTGTCGGCAGGTTTTGCTATGCATTTGGTGTTACTGGAAGGAGATTATTTATTATGAATTGCTTCCATGTTGCCAAACGCTAAATTCTGATCTCCATTGTTAACAACTGGACCGTTTGAAGATAAAGAGAGACGGCCAGAATTAGCCAACGGGAGAGGTGTCAGGTTCCACCAGGACAACGGTAGGTATGTTCAATCAAAGTCATTTTTCAACCTGATTCTCTGTAGCTTGTTATTCCGTTTTCTACTAGCCCGATAGATTTCAGATCCGACTTAACGTCTGCCTCATGGTGGATGGAAGTAAAAATTCGCATAAAACTCTGAAATTCTTTACAAATATTCTTAAGAAGTTCTATCATACGGCCTTATTTATTTTAAATTCTCGCTAATACGTTTGAAAATATGATAGTCCGAAAAATATTCCTTAAAAACTCTCTCTCTAATAGTAAAATTGCACTCGTCCACTTTAAAAATACTGACACAATAAATCGGCTATATCTTCATGTTATTGAGATTCTTGAGTTAGTGTAGGGACATTCTTCGAATTAAATAGAAAACCAAATTGTATGGGGCCTTAAGAAATCCACGCTTAAAAAGTTCTAGTTTATGCGTCTACTATTTATTAAAAAAATTGTAAAAATGTCCAGACTTAAAGCGCTTGAAAAAAAATAGTTCAAAATCTGAATTTGTTAATGCTTCTTGGAAATGCACGATTAACCCCCTGAAAGGAATATAATTTAAAGATTAAAAGTATGAGAGTCCTTAAAAAATATGCTAAAAATAATTCCTAAACTTTTCTTTTATAGTCATTGAAACATATTCTTAAAACTCCACACTCTAAGTTCTAGTGTAAAAATGTTAGAAAAATCTTCTTTTTAAAAACCTTATTTCATTGTTAGACTCAATTTTTTCCGCAATAAAATTTCAAAACATTTACATTTAGGAGAATTCAAAATCACAAAAAAACTCGAAAAATAAAACAGAAATTTCAGAGAAGTGATTTAAAATTATAGGTAATGACCAAAATTTATTAAAGGAAAATTAGTCATAATTAATCGTACATAATATAAACGATATACAAAAAACACAAATAGATATGCTATAATCGGTGGTATTACTGATTATGTGCTACAATCTACCAATATCAGTTTTCACACCAAAGGAAAAATGTTTTAGGTTATAATTATTATTAAGATTTTAAAAAACAGATTAAGGCATAGAATATATTATTTTTTATAAAAATATATATAGGCAAATTGCAAATTACAAAAAATAAAATGTTCTTTTTTGTTGGAAAACAAATGCAAATATGAAACAGAATTGTTGTTGTTCTTGATTTTCTTAAGATATCCGTATTTTTTTTGCGTTTGACGTATCAGCTAAATTAGGATTCATTACGTTAAAGCGAGTTTTCTTTTTTTATATTTTTCCTTTATAATTCCATTGTTATTATTGTTAATTGGTCAAAGTGTGTGTTTTCGTCATTAAAATGTTAACAAAATTTGTTTTAGGATTTTTAACCCAATTCTCTGGTTTTTTGTTTGTCTCTTGCTTTCTGTAGTAGTTGGTTGGCAGAAGAAAAAAACGCCGTTTATTAAACTGGTATGCCAGTACGATCCTTGATTTTGCCCAAAACATTTACATGCACCTTGGCATAGCCACTCGATTTTTTACCCAACGTTCCAAGGCTACCACTGGGTGCAGTACCCAATGGTGTGGCGGTGGTGGCACCAGCGGCAACATCTATCGACGAGGATGATAGCGGTGATGAATGTTTCGAATCGCTATGATGTGGCTGTGACGAACGATGTGTGGAATCATGTGATGACAATAGATCATCAGTACTTGGTCGAGCATGCGATGTCGTAGATGGTGTATAGATGGGTTGTAGTTTATCGACTTCATCATCGATGGCCTTAAATTGCCAACTCCAATTGGCACGATACAAAAATGGACGATGATCGAAGCGGTTATCGTCGGGGCTATAGCTTTCAGCATGTACCGAAGGTGTCAGCACGGTCATCTTGTGACGATTAATGGCATAACATCTAAAGAAGTGTTTAACCTTATCGGCTACCTCCTTGGGACTTAAATCACCCTTCCAGGTGGCAACAAGGCGACAGAACATACTGTACGGTCCACAGCAGGCCTGCTTACGTAAACGACCATATTCACTCAATTCGGCATAGGTCATACCCATATCTTGTTCGTCGGTTTGCATAAGTTGGCCATCCTGTAGCGGTTCCAATTCGGCAGTAGGTGGTGCATCAATAATTGACTCAAGTACGGGTAAATTGAATCTGAAAAGGGAAAATGAAGTTAATGTCTTGGTAATCAAGTAACTTTTGAACAAATCGAAGATTGTTAACTTTTGAAAGGGTATCTTTTAAAAAATCTAAGCGAAGTGGTTAAAAACCTTTGGAAATTTTTATTAAAACATCTACGCTTGTAGGTCTGTTACTCCTCCAACAAATATTATTAAAAACCAAAGCTGATAAGCCTAACAAAAATTATTCCAGCGTTTATTGCTCTGATAGCAATAGAAAATATGTTTTTAAAAGAATCACGCTTTAAGTCTACTAGTCCTTCAAAAAGTATTCTTAAAACACAATATTCTGCTGGAAAAATATTATAAAAAATCTATCAAAACCAATACTTTTCAAAAATCCTCAATTACAGATCTGTTATTTCACGAACACATATTTTTACAAATCTACCCTGAGACCTGACAGTACTCGAAAAAGATATTCTTTAAAAATCTTCAGATAGAGCCCTGATAGTCCTCCAAAAAATATTTTTAAAAATCATCACTTAGAGCTCTGATAGTCCTTGAAAAATATTCTACAAAAATTAACGCTTAGAGCCCTGATAGTTTTTCAAAAAATATTGTTTTAAAATCATATAGCCCTCTGATATTACTCCAAAAGTTTACGCTTACAGTTTGTATAGTCCTCCAATAAAATGATTTAAAAATCATCATATAGCGCCCTGATATTTCTCCAAAAAATTTTGTTTAAAAATGCTCATTTGAAGCTCTGATTGTCCTCGAAAAAATATTCTTCAAAAATTCACGATTACAGCCCTTATAGTTCACCAAAAAGATATTCTTTAAAAATCATCATATGATCGATACATCTGACTTTGTCGATGTCCGAGATCATATGTTACAACTCATGGTTCATTCGACGGCGATATTCACCATCGACGAATAAACGGCCCATAGATATTTCGGAGAAATTTTTTTCAAACACTTCTAGGGCTTCCTCATCTGCTTGCGCAAGTACCCAAGCTTCAGATCCATACAACAGCAGGGGTAGTATCAGCGTCTTGTAGATTGTGAGTTTGGTCTGACGAGAGGTGGCCCTGTTCTTAAATTGCTTACTTAGACCATAGCAGCTATGTTGACCAACACAATTCTTTTCCGAATTTCAAAACTGATGTCATTCGTTTTATTTATGGCGGTACCAAGGTATATAAAATCGTTGACTACCTCGAAGCTGTAGTTCTCAAGTTCCACAGTTCGTCCGAGTCTACTCGACGTCTTACCCGTTGATGCCATCAGCTTGGTCTTTTCACCATTTACTCCAGAACCACTTTGGCAGACTTCTTCTCAATTTGTTCAAATGTGGCTGTTACCGCTTGCAATGTTCGACCCATTATATCGATGTCATTGACGTAGGCGAGTAACGTGTGTTGTTTGGTGTACATAGTGTGCCATTTCTGTTCATATTTGTATCTCGTATGACCTTTTCCAGCAGGATGTTAAAGAGATTGTTTTTGATCTTCTTACTCAGACCATAGTAGCATCAGTTGGCCAACACAATCCTTCTTCGAATTTCAAAACTAATGGCATTAGTGTACAGAGTGTCATTTCTGTTCCCCTTTGCCTCTCGTAAGACCTTTTCCAGCAGGATGTTAAAGACAAACAAACCTGTAACCTTGTCTGAATCCCCGTTCGGTATTGAGAGGTCCTTTCCGGTCAACTGCTGACATAGGACCAGTTGAAGTTGTCCTGCATAGCCGTATTAAACACCTCTGAACGGATAGGGCTGTCGAATGCGGCTTTATAGTCGTCGAATAGGTGGAATATGTCGATGTGTTTTTCGTGGGTCTTTCCCAGGATTTGGCGCAGGGTGAAAATCTGGTCTATGGAATTTTTGCCAGGTCTGAAACCGCATTGGTATGGTCCAGTAATGTCATTGACCATTGGCTTTAATCGTTCACAAAGCACGCTGGATAGCTCTATAGTTGGCACATATTGTCTTATCTCCTTTTTTTGTGTACGGAGCACAGGATGCTGAGGTTCCAATCATTGGGAATGCATTCCTCATGCCAAATTGTACTAATCAGATGGTGCATGTTCATGAACAGCATCTGACCATCGACCTTGAATAGTTCGGCTAGTAATCCATCGGCACCTGCTGCTCTTCGGCCGATTAATTGCTATTCTGACGTCACCTTGGCTGAGTGGTATACACTCTATACCTGTCTAGAGCTCTAATTAGTCATCGAAAAAATATTAAAAAAATCACTCTTGTATGCCTGCTAATACTCCAAAAAATCCAAGATATCAGCTCTGATAATTTCAAAAATATCCAAGCCTGTAGATGAAGTTAGTACATGAAAAATATTCCTAAAAATCACTACTTGTAGGTATGCCTAAATATCGATGTTTGTAGGTCCACTAGTCCTTGAAAAACTATTCTGAAACAATTGGAGAAGGGTGTTCTCAAATACAAATTCTTAACAAATCTATGCTTGTGGTTCAGCCAGTCCCCAAAATAGTATATATTTAATATATCTAAAAAATATGACTAAATATTCTTAAAATAATATTATGATATATATCACTTACTTGTCTTTAGCATATATCAAAAATCTTCTCAAATCCGTTTTCGAAATCCCACCAATAGGATTTACATCAGCCGACGAACAATCGTATTTCGTTAGATATCCGCGCAGCGATTCATCGACATTGGCCGAGCCCAAAACTAACAAACCACCCGGACGATTGCGTACCCATAACATTAGCTGGGCGAAAATATAGGCCAATACCATACGTATGCGTGATTGTATATTTTGTAAGGCTAAATTTTGTCGTGCACATCCACCTTGAGTGCGGAAACGTGGTGTCAATCCCGTTACAGCATTGAAAATACCCAGTAAGGCATTGACGGCCGTATCGATGCTTATCTCGATGTGATAACTGCCCAATTGATTGGCCAATTGCGAGGCACGACGACGTGTTTCTTTGCTGGAATTTACACTGCCCATAAAACAGGTTACCAACAAACGATTACACAAGGCCGCCGGATTATCGGGTGTGTAGTCGTGATCGGCCAATATTTTGCGAATATCATGCAAGACCTGAGCATCACCCAGTTGTACGGCCTGCACAATCATGCGACACATTGAATGGACAATGGTGGCAGAACTACTCGAATCAACACCACCGGAGAGGGGTAAAAAGAAACCACCCTGACCCGATCGTCTTAAATAGTCCCAGAGCCAACAAGCCGGTCCCATGGCAATTTCTTCTTCGGGTGTGTGATAGATCCATTGTATCGGTGTACTGGCAGTTTTAAATATATCACAATGGGTGGACATTTCAAAATCACAATTGATACGTGGATATGTTGGGGCTGAGGCAGCCATTGAACATCTGGAACGTTGTGAAACACGATAGGCACGTATCTCTTCTAAATCGATGGTGGCCAGAGTTACCTCCACATCTTGTAGAGAGAATTGTTTGCCCCGAGCGACAATTTCACCATTCAAGGCAACGGCCGAACAGCCATTGAAATAGACTCGCTGACCATCGCAACCACGTAGATTACTAAAGAGATAGGCACCGCCAGCCTTAAAACTGGCATTACGTATTAAATCGGTGGTAATGTGAGCCTTACGTAGCTCCATATAGCTACCGGAACTGTTAACTATGATTTCCACGCCGGAAAGGGACATATCAATGTGTTTGCTGGAAGTAGAGCATAGAATACGAAAGTTAGATTAAGGATGATATGGAGAATGAAGGGAGCAGTGACAGAACACCAAAAGTACTATACAAAGTTTGTTCAAAAAGTATCGCATTTCGTAGCAATGAAAGTAAATATGGAAAATTTTGCGGATTAGCCACATGTGTTTTTGGAAAACACTCAAAATGATCGAAGTCCTGCAGTTGAAGAAATTATAAGTAAAATTATCACATCAAGCCGAATTATATGAATGAGTGATTATAGCTGAGCATTAGAACATAGGTACGAGTTGCTTTCGATAGAAACTGGATCTTCGAAAATTAAAAATGCGTCTTACTTTTTGAACAAACTTCGAACATTAAATAATGCGGTTGTTCAAAAAATCAGACCTTTTAACATTCCATAACTCCTCGCAGATCTCATAACCAATGCATGTATCCTTGGTGGCGATAACAGCATCGCCAAACGGTACGGTATCCTGTCCGGTGTGTTGTGATATCATGCGTGGCAAATAGAAATCTTCAATTTGTAAAGACTGCAAAACAAATCAGAATTATTTACAGAAATTTAATAAAATAATTTTCAACCATACCTTGGTCCATGGTGTAAACCATCTGGTCTCACGATAATTACCATCATCACAATTTGACATTTTTGGTCGTATTAATAAAATTTTACGATTGAAAAAGGCCACGCGACAATTGTAGGCAACATTACGATGCATAACAGGCATACCGACATCAATTAGCATATTTTCACTGGAAGAGGAAGAAGAATTTAATACATTAGGTGTTATATGAGGGTGAGATAGGGGCCTTACCATATGGGTGACATCATTATTTCCAACAACACTTCCCATGAGTGTAAATATGTATCGGGTTCCCGAAAGTGATCTTCACAGCTGTAACCACTGTAAATAAATAAATGAGGAGAGAAAATTAATGGAGAAATCCGGATGATGGCCCAGACCTGATAAAATCAAATTTCTTTGGTCTGAAAGTTCTCCTAAAAATATTCCTTAAAAATCCAAGCTGATGGGTCAAAAAGTTCTGCTAAAAATATTCCTTAAAAATCCAAGCTTATGGGTCAAAAAGTTCTGCTAAAAATATTCCTTAAAATCCAAGCTGATGGGCCAAAAAGTTCTGCTAAAAATATTCCTTAAAAATCCACGCTTATGGGTCTAAAAGTTCTCCTAAAAATATTCTTTAAAAAATCCACGCTTATGGGTCTAAAAGTTCTCCTAAAAATATTCTTTAAAAAATCCACGCTTATGGGTCTAAAAGTTCTCCTAAAAATATTCTTTAAAAAATCCACGCTTATGGGTCTAAAAGTTCTCCTAAAAATATTCTTTAAAAAATCCACGCTTATGGGTCTAAAAGTTCTCCTAAAAATATTCTTTAAAAAATCCACGCTTATGGGTCTAAAAGTTCTCCTAAAAATATTCTTTAAAAAATCCACGCTTATGGGTCTAAAAGTTCTCCTAAAAATATTCTTTAAAAAATCCACGCTTATGGGTCTAAAAAGTTCTCCTAAAAATATTCTTTAAAAATCCACGCTTATGGGTCTAAAAAGTTCTCCTAAAAATATTCTTTAAAAATCCACGCTTATGGGTCTAAAAAGTTCTCCTAAAAATATTCTTCAAAAAATTCACGCTTATGGGTCAAAAAGTTCTCCTAAAAATATTCTTCAAAAAATTCACGCTTATGGGTCTAAAAGTTCTCCTAAAAATATTCTTTAAAAAATCCACGCTTATGGGTCTGAAAGTTCTCCTAAAAATATTCTTTAAAAAATCCACGCTTATGGGTCTGAAAGTTCTCCTAAAAATATTCTTTAAAAAATCCACGCTTATGGGTCTAAAAGTTCTCCTAAAAATATTCTTTAAAAAATCCACGCTTATGGGTCTAAAAGTTCTCCTAAAAATATTCTTTAAAAAATCCACGCTTATGGGTCTAAAAGTAAGTTCTCCCAAAAATATTCTTTAAAAAATTCACGCTTATGGGTCTAAAAGTAGGTTACCCTAAAAATATTCTTTAAAAAATCCACGCTTATTGGTATAATAAATATATTGATTATTGTTGGTATAATAAATATAGTTCTTCTAAAAATATTTTTTAAAAATCCACGCTTATGGATAAGTCCTCCTAAAAATATGCTTTAAAATCCACGCTTATGGATAAGTCCTCCTAAAAACATGCTTTAAAAATCCACGCTTATGGATAGTCCTCCTAAAAATATTCCTTAAAAATCCACGCTTATGAATAGTAAAAAAATATTTTTTCAAAAATCCATGCTTATGACTGGTCCTCCTAAAAATATTCTTTCAAAAATCCGCCTTTATGGAAAGTCACCATAAACATATTTTTTTAAAAATCCAGGCTTATGACTCGTCCTCCAAACAAATTTCTTAAAAAATCGAAGCTTATGGATAGTCCTCCTAAAAATATTACTTAAAAATCCACACTTATGGATAGTCCTCTTAAAAATATTTTTAAAAATATGAATAGTCCTTCTTCCCACTTACCACACTTCCAATTCCGGACCCGTACGATATGATGCGCCCATATCCTTGGCTTCCATAATAGATTGTAGAATTCTGGCCAGATTGCCTTCAAAGTCCAGGGCCCATTGGTTTAGGGTTGAGACGGCTACAGTAATTTTACGACCCATGATGCTTTAGCTTGTGATGACGTCTCCGATATAAATTTTTAATTTAAAAATAAAACGTTATAACAGAATATAACAGTTAACTGTTTATTGTCAAGGTGATTGATTGTTATTGTTCGAAGTCTTCTTCTCCAAAAAGGGATATCGAATGAAAAGGCCAATTAGTATATATTACTTTGCTTTGTTTTACAAAAAAACAATATGAACACAAATATCGAGGAAAAAATATTTGTTTAGATAAAAATCAGCACGCAACAAGTCAATGTTCTGTAAAAGAAAATAGAAGAAAAGAACAAAATAAACAAATTAGATATTAGACGAAAACAACAACAATTGTATATAATACAAAAAATAATATTTACAAAGAAAAAACAATAACCATACAAATAGTTTATTTACATACAATTATTCAATTACAAAAAATAATTGCGCAACAACAAAAGGCGATTCCGTCGACTAAATGACTCACTCAGTCCCACCAGTCAGTCATTCACTCACTCACATTGTACTTAGAGCAGCAACGTAATTGACATAGACGTAGAGGACATTGTAGTATGTCCTTAGTTATTATAAATGCACTTTCAGATTTAGCCAAGTACTGCCAAGACTGACTGCACTTAAGAAATGTTTTGAGGCAAATAAACACTCTACAAGGATAACGTCAAGGAACTCGGTTCCTTGGCAGCCGGATTGCATATAGTGGATACGTAATGTGAGAATGTTTGTTTACAACAACATTGTGTAGTGGTAGTGGTGGCAGTGGCGGTTAGTTGCCGTTGTTTGACGCTGGCCTGTTTGTTGTTTTTGATGTTGCCATGTGTGCGCCGCCATCATTACTGACGTCTTTTTTGTCGGTCGGTTTTGTTGCCGTCATTTGATAAGGAGTTGTTATTTATATGGATATAAGGTGGGGACGAATCCTTGAAAAAATTCTCCATTCAAAATAATCCATTTAAAAATACATATTATTGAAAACCCAAAAATCATCGCTTATGGGTGGACCTTTCAAGAATATTTGTAAAAAAATCCACGCTTATGAATTGACCATTCAAGAATATTTGTAAAAAAATCCACGCTTATGGATTGACCTTTCAAGAATATTTAAAAAAAGTCCACGCTTGTGGATAGACCTTTCAAGAATATTTATAAAAAACCACGCTTATGGATAGACCTTTCCAGAATATTTTTAAAAAAATCCACGCTTATGGATTGACCTTTCAAGAATATTTAAAAAAACACGCTTATAGATAGACCTATCAAGAATATTAAAAAAATCCAGGCTTATGGATAGTCCTTTTAAATATTCTTTTAAAAAATCCACGCTTATGGATAGTCCTTTTAAATATTCTTTTAAAAAATCCACGCTTATGGATAGTCCTTTTAAATATTCTTTTAAAAAATCCACGCTTATGGATAGTCCTTTTAAATATTCTTTTAAAAAATCCACGCTTATGGATAGTCCTTTTAAATATTCTTTTAAAAAATCCACGCTTATGGATAATCCTTTTAAATATTCTTTTAAAAAATCCACGCTTATGGATAGTCCTTTTAAATATTCTTTTAAAAAATCCACGCTTATGGATAGTCCTTTTAAACATTCTTTTAGAAAAAAAACCACGCTTATGGATAGTCCTTTTAAATATTCTTTTAAAAAATCCACGCTTATGGATAGTCCTTTTAAATATTCTTTTAAAAAATCCACGCTTATGGATAGTCCTTTTAAATATTCTTTTAAAAAATCCACGCTTATGGATAGTCCTTTTTAAAATTCTTTTAAAAAATCCACGCTTATGGATAGTCCTTTTAAATATTCTTTAAAAAACCCACGCTTATGGATAGTCCTTTTAAATATTCTTTTAAAAAATCTTTTTAAAAATCCACGCTTATGGATAGTCCTTTTAAATATTCCTTTAAAAAATCTTTTAAAAAATCGACGCTTATGGATAGTCCTTTTAAATATTCTTATAAAAAAATCAACGCTAATGAATAGTCCTTTTAAATATTCTTTTAAAAAATCCACGCTTATGGATAGTCCTTTTAAGTATAAATATTTTATAAAATAGATGCATATGGGTAGTCCTTCTAAAAATATGTATTAAAATAAAAATACAGGAGATTTCGATTTTTTTCAAATAGAAAATTTTTATTCCTTTTGTTCCCATCTAATAAATATTTCATTTAATTTTTTATAGACGTCTTTTTTGTATTTTTTGTTGTTAAACTTTGCCAGTTATTCACGTTGTTAGGAACAACGCCATCAAATGGCGGCGTGCCATCAGAATGACGTTGACAGGTGTTTGGGCAAAGGAAGGAACTACAATGACGACTACAAATTATGACAAAAAAACATTGAGTTGAATAGACGCCTCTGAGAAACCCACTGCTGAGGAATTTTCATATCGATCAAGCAAAACGTTTATTCATATCTGATGGCTGAGGTTAACATTAGTTACGCCAAACAATTACTGTTAAGAAGGTTTGAGGTGGACAATATTGAAATGGTCAATGAATTGGGAAAGAGTTCAATGGTATGTGTATTTATCGAAATTATAATTGATTTTCTTGTGTTAGTTCCCAGGAGACCCTTTAATCATTAAGAATTACAAATTCAAAAAATAAAGAATATCTTTACCAATTTATGAATTCACATAGTTATGTGTATTTAGAATAATAGGGTACCTTGGCATTATTTGGAACTCAGTTTTTTTTTAACTAAACGTAGTTTGAAAAAAATTGATCACTACAATTTTAAACAAATTTTATATTTTTTATGGAGAACCGAGGAAAATGCCTATCCCACACTAAATAAATTTTAATATTCCTGCAATATCAATCATTGAATACTCAAAATATTACGAAGTTGTTTTTGTAAAATTATCCGTTTTTAAATTTAATCAAAGAATTAAAACTCAATAAGACTTCATGACACAAAACCCATATTTCCATCATATAACGCCCAATGTCTTATATAAAAAAAAAACTACAACTGACCTTACAATTGAATCTGAAATTTAATAAAGCCCTTTTCCATTGTTCACCATGGATATTGGCCAAAATCATTGAAACTTAAATAAATTTTTACAGTTTCCGATTTCCTTCAAAATGTTAATGTCTTCTTTCTCTAAAATAGATTGCCGGAAATTGTAGAGAATTGAATTGCATTGGAAGCAATTGGCAAAAGGCATTTGACGTCAAACAAAGAACGTACGAAGAAATGTTAAACGTTTCTCAACGAGCAGGCAATCATTTGTGTAATTTTGTAAGGTTATATATATATAATGTATATATAAGAAAATGCACATCAAATATCTTCAAAATGCTACACATACATTCAGATACAATGTTCGATGTTTGGAAATTGTAACAAAAAATCGAAAATGGTGGATGTGATGTTCAAATTTTATAAATAAAATTATGGAGTGGTGTATATGAAAACTATTTAAATTAATTTTTTTTCTTAGGCTATATTTCGGATATAATGTTTTTATCAGAGTAGAATCAAAGTCGATCAAAAATATGCACAGCCACTAAAAATAGTGGGGGGAGGTTCCAGAAGAAGTGGACCGATAAGTCCACCTTCAAGTATTACACATGTTTGGTTAATGTAGTAGGTTGTGTGAAGGTTTGTTCAAATATGACGCACTGTTCGCTTGGTATTATATTTGACCGGTATTCAGTACAATTTTGACCGACAAATTGTCAATCTATACTAATAAAGAAGTAAATTTATTAAAATACTTAAAGTAGTACTAAGAGTACTAAATTTGGTATTTGTTTTTGGCGAACCGGTAGAGCTGGAATTCTGGAACTTAGAAAACCCATGGTATTTTTTTGGAAATTCGAATTATAAGTATCCAAAAAATACTAAAATGTGCTAAATTTGGTGAAATTTCGTAACATGTGAGCTAAAAACTTGCAATTTGGAATGCGAATGCGAAGGTTGTGGAGTAGAGTCAATATAAGGAGGTGGTTTTGGAGATGTGTACTCATGTATACGAAAATTACTAAACAATACTAAATTTGGTACGATTTGAATTTGGAGGCACAAATGAAGCTGGAATCAAAAAAAAATTAACATTACCCTCAGAGTGTAGGATTGCGATATGTAGGTAATTTTGGGAATTTTTACTTATGTGTACGAAAAGTACTAAATGGTACTTATATTTGGTACAATTTGGATTAGTGTGAACCGATAGATCGGAACACTGAAATTTGAAAATAAGATTACTGTTGGAGTGTAGGATTGGTGTATGGATGTAGTTTTGGAAATTTGTACTAAATGGTACTAAATTTGTACAATTTAGATTTAGGTGTACAGATAGAGCAGGGATCCTGAAATTTGGTGTTAGTAAATTCCGAAGACTTCCGCAAACCATAGGCTGAGAGTATATATCTGTCAGCAATACTAACTGACACTTTTTTACTTATTTTTCTTGGGAGATTTTTCTATAGAAAAAGATAGATGAGAACTTCAGGGATATATTTTTATAGAAAAATATAGTTAGGAATTTTTTTTTTGGTTTACAACACCTCGAAATATTCATCTGAGACCCCATAAACCTCCGTCTGTTGAAATTACGATAGAGCTCGTAAATATTTAAGATAGAGCTTTGACACCTCAAAATGTTTAACATTTCAAAGATCTATCTTAAATGTTTGCGAGGTCTATCGTGATTGTATATGTATAGAATTGTATATGTATTCTTCGGGGGGTCTCAAATTAATATTTCGAGGTATTGCGAACGGAATAGTGAATTTAATATACATGAACTCTACCTTTTGGTGGAAGTTTAAAAAAGTTCGGAAAAACCTCAGGGACATGTTTTCAAAATTGACTACAGTAAATTTGTTTCTAGAAAAAAAAATAATAATAGCGATGGGGACTTCGAGGACACATTTTTAAATAAAATCCTGAGGTCTTCATTAAATTTTTCTTTAGACGTATTTTTCTCAGGAACATATTTTTCAATAAATCGCTGAGGTCTTCAACGATATTTTCCAATA